GGTGTGAACCCAGCCTTAACCTCCCTGGCGGTATGATTATTTTGATTTTCGTAATTTTTTTCGGCGCAATTTTTTTTCGGATTTTTTTTGTTATTTTATTTTTTAGTTTTTTTTTTTTCGAATTTCCTGCCGGTTCCGCCCCCATGAGACGCGTCAGCTCGCCAGGGACGGAACCCGGAAGACAGATGCCGGCGCCGGCCGGAGGACACCGCACGGCTCGAGGGACAAGGTAAGTAAATAATGTGGGATATTCCCGAGTGTAGCTCAGGGTATGGAAAAGTAACCCCGAGCTACACTCGGGAATACCGCCAAGGAGGTTAAAGGACAAGTGGACTTATTCTTTCTGTTCGGCTCCCCAAACTTACAGATCCCACTTTCTATAGATGAATTCCTTCCTTGATCTGACATCTGCAGCCTCTGAAGATTGTACAAATCCTGCGCCACCAGTCCTCTCCCTCCTGGCCACACCTTTGCATTAAAGCCCCCTCGAAATCTTTGGTGCTCGTCTCTGGCTTGGAAGACGGAATTAAAGAAGCCCTATGGGGCTCTACTATACAGAGGACTTGCGGCACGAATGTAGACTATCCCCGGAGGTCTCCGATGTTGGGTCCAGGTAAGTTTTTATATGTGAAGGGATCTTTTGGGTGGGGGGGGGCTTGTCTTCGGCTTGGGAGAAAGCATTAAAGAAGCCCCCTAGAAGTCTATGGGGCTAGTCTTCAGCTTGTGGAGGGAGTAAAAGGAGCCCCCTAGAAGTCTTTGGGGCTTGTCTTCGGCTTGGGAGACGGAGAAAAACACAAGAGAATTGCATGGTTTACAATGAACAGTAGTGCGATCGAAAATGCGCAAAAACAGATTGGCATTTGAACCGCCTATGTGTGAACCTAGTCGATTTATAGCGCTGATTGGGTCGCACGATATCGTGTAAAACACAGATTCACATTGAAGTCAATGTAGCCTGTTCACACCTTTGCTGTTTGTCACGCAGAAAGGTGCAGGAGTGATTTTCGGGCGATTGTCTGTCTGAATTGATCTCTGTTGACAACTATTCTCATTGATTGGTTGCAGCCCTAGTATCCGGACAGCAGCCACTGTCCAAAGTCCTGACCGGAGCTTGCAGATGACTGGCTGCTGGCTCCGTTAGGCCAAGAATTTTCCAACCGCCTCCTTCAATCAGCCGCTCGAGGAATGCCGGGTGGTAGGATGGCAAATTCTCCTAATTCCACCCTTGGGGTATCCAAGAAGATATAGGCAGATTCAAAACAGAAATCTGACCCCATGTTTGTTCTCTGCATCCTGTATAAGAGTTTTGTTGCATAAAGGTTGCAGAGCTGTGGAGCCGTCCTTGAAAACCATTGTGATAGACGGGAAGGACTTTTGTTAAAAATTACTCTCTATTCTTCCCCCCCCCCTTTTTATGCTTTTATAATTGGTGAAACAGCTGTGCGTTTGTGTGCGTGCGTAGTAATTGTACAGCATGCTTGTATATTGTGGTGTTTTCAGCAAATGTTCAGGAACTCGCGTTAGCAGTGCAGCACCTAGAACTATGCTAATGTATGATTTACCTCATCTGCATACACCAGCTGAAAGTCTGGTAAGCCTTGCAAAGTGTTCGTTTGACCTATATCCTTCCCGGGGAGGAGTACATAGGCGAGCTTTTGTTCTGCTAGCGGCGGAGAAAGCAGCTTTGCAAACAAAGCTTTGTGTAAACTTGACAATGCCCCGAATGCTATTAGCAATGGCTTTTTTTTTCTCTTTGTCCTTGTAATTGATACTTGCTGCAGAAGCGGCTATTATTATTTTATGGTGAACATCTAGCAGTAGTGAAAAAGAAACACACACACAGGGACCATGGGGAACAAAAGTAGCCACCCTCCAGAAGGAAGTACAGTGTGATCTCCAATTCAGAGATGATTTGAGGATCTACAGCTGAGTGTCATGCACATACACTACATTTTTGTATCGCTTCTCCCTCCCTTTAAGGCCCTATTCACACTGAGCGACATGAAAATTGCGCGATTTTGAGCGATATTGCGCGACGTGTCGCATTGGGCTGTACGCAAACAGGAGCAATATCGCTCGAAAAAAGGGTCATGTAGGAGCGACAAGCTACCTGCGACGAGCTACGAGCGATATTGAGAGGCGAGATGTGAACAGCTCCATTGAAATAGAGCCATATCGCGTGGAAATATGAGCGATATCGCTTCAAAAATCGCTCAGTGTGAATGGGGCCTAAGGTCTCATTCACACCTAGGCGTATTGCATATGCGCGTCTGTGGCGCGTTTTTACCGCGATTCGCGGTAAAAAAGTTGCGCGAAAACGCTCGTTTCCAAAGGCTACTTGGCTGTATCGCAATGGAAACGCGCAACAAAACGGCCCAAAGTAGTACATGTACCTTTTCAGGCGTGAGCCGTTTTGTAGCGCGTTAGGGACGGGCGGAAATACGCCAAGGTGGGAACAAGACCATTGAATACAATGGGATTTATATTTTTGAGCGTTTTGTAGCGCATTCGTCGAGCATAGAACGCGCTACAAAACGTTCAGGTGTGAACGAGGGCTTAAGAGTGTAAGCCCTCAGTGGCAGGGCCCTCCTTACCATCTTGTCTTGAATTGTATTGTCTTCCTTACATTGTAAAGCGCTGCGCAAACTGTTGACACTATATAAATCTTGTATAATAATAATAGGGTACTTGAATGCATTTTTAAACTTAAACTCCTGCGTTTTTAGTACGCTTTTGAGGTTTTCTCTAGTTGTCGAAGGAGCTGGCTCCTTGATTGGACAGACTGGCTCCTGCATTCCATTTTTTTTGTCCACCCCTGAGGGTATAGTATTGCAAAGCGATGCCCACCGCCAACATCTTCCAAACAGTAGGGCCCCACATCCTGCTGTTGGTTGTTGTGCTTTGCCGGCCAGTGTATTTTTGACCACAAAAATACAAATGTTGTCATAGTGAATGTGAACGACCAGGAAACACCCCGAGACCAAATTTCACCAGCATCTGATGCCTCCAGAGACATCTATAATCGTGCTTCTTAGTCCTGAGAAAACCAGAACTTGCAGACAGCGGGGAGAATGTCGAGGAGGAGGGTAGTCTGTGACGTGAGCTGTAGGCCATCTGGTCTGGGAGATATTTGGTTTTATCAGTTTGTGAATGCGTACCGCCATCGAATGCATAGTATTCGGTGTCCCGATGGAGGCTAACACTACTGCTAGCCTCCAAACGGGATGTTGGCTTTTCCAATATGTCCTTTGGAGCCCATGAAAACAGACACTTCTGTTGAGGAGGAGAAACAACAAAAGGCTTATTATAGTACCTGCCTCTGGCAGTTGCGTTTCCGCAAATAAACTCAGAGCCTCATCGATCATCACTATCGGTGCTCGCCCCACACTTTGGGAAAACGCAGACAATAGTGATTGTTCTGATTATTACAGGGCTCTGCTGGAAAAGACTGTTGTTTGCTTGCGTTTTTAATTTCATGCAAATGCTGCCTTCTTTATATTAAGTGTTCTCCTTTGTTGCATCTGTTTGCCGTAGCACTGTCAATCCCTTTGTGCCTAGCTGACAGTGTCCCTTTATGCCGAGGAACACGTCCCTGTTGTTCGCTGTGCAGGTGGGGCTGCGTTGTACAACGTAAGCCTGTGGTGTCCATAGAGCCGCATTTAGAATCTGCATCTCGAGATGCTTAGCCTTGCTTCGATTGGCCCGTTGGTCTCCTGTGACATGTCTCCAAAGGCTGATATTGAATTTCTGTGAAGAACATCATCCGTTTTGTGATTCTGTTGTTATATGCATGTTGCCTGGCTCCATTGCTGACGGGTCTGAAAATACATAACTGCTATACTTTGGAGGCTTTATTCATGAGCTTCTCTGGGATAGAGTAAAGTTACCCTAGTTAATTTCCTTTGTAAATGAGACAATTGGGTATAATGTCCCTCTTTGTTTAGTATATTCCAGGTTGTCATTTTGTTTTTTTCTTGCAATACGGCATTATTTACTGAGCTGTTATGAGATCCGCTGTGCCTGGTGGGGCCGGGACCGGCACGGCTGCTCTGTGACAGGAGATCAAAGGGAGGTCAGTCCATGATCTCCCTCTGATCTCATCTCCCATCCCCGAATGCAGGAAGTGATGTATTTTACATCACTTCCGCATTCTGCTGTCACTCTCCAGCTTCAGAAGCTAGTAAAGCAGATCTCTGCTTCATCAGCTTCTATGGGAGTCCCTAGGTGACATTAGCGGTCATGGAGACCTGTCATGTAAATTGGCTATCACATAGGGGGCTTCTTATCCCCCTATGTGATAGCAATAAAGTTGAGTGTAAAAAAAGTAATAAAATTTAAGCATAATTTATTTATTTTTAACATTATTTTTTTAAGTCCCCCGCCCCCCACATACACATGCGCCGGGTGCGCCTATTGTCTCGCACATGTTACATATCACCGCGAACGTCAGAGTGTAAGCAATAATTTTAGGGCCCTTAATCACTGATAACACTAAACTGATGAGCAGTAAAAGCGTTGAAAGCTTTGCCTATGGACAATTTCCGGTGTGGCCGTTTTTTTGCGGGCGCGCACAATTTTAAGGCTTGACTTTTTGGTTTTCTATTTATCCAACGTGATCCCGTCTTTTATATTTTACCAAAAATATTGTCCAGCTTCTATCATGTCCCCTGTAGACTCTGAAACTGGACCGTGTGACCGCTACCACCTTGCGTGTAAAAGTGAATTCAGTTAAGCATAATGCAGCAATAGCGATTTTTAGTATTGTTTTTTTAAGGGCAGACCAGAAAGAAATGTGTGTAGATTGGTTATTGTGGGTTCCTGTGGTTTACATATTGCTCCTTATTGAATATCTCGGAAGATATGCAAGTTGTGTATTCGCTGCTACTTTAAATAATTGCCAAGTTACTTCAGAATTTGATAAACGGCTTTAGTTGTTTTTGTTGTCCCTAAATGTAGATATTACCAGTTTATCATTTTAATGTTGTTTTTGTTTTTCCCAGGCAAGGATCTCCTTTGACTACAAGTTATAGATTTGGTCTTGGCCCCCGGAAGCCCTAAATGAAATCACTCTAGGAGAAGTGTCTTCTCAACGCCTTTCCATAAGCGTTCCATTCATTTTGTGAACATTCAATAATGTTGCGTCCCTCAAACCTTCAGCCTGACCCAATGGCTCAGGCCGCCAACTCCTGCCAAAAAATGCTAGATATGCGCCCTCCCGATGTTTCCGGTATGGGTCTCGAGGACCCCTTGCGAGTTGCTGTTCCACCTCCATTTTACCATAGTGCAAACCAAGAACTTGATCTGTCAAATAAGCAGTTTAAAAGAGAGACAGGTGGACCTTTTTCAGTTATGATGGACACTAAAGTAGGCAAACCTCACCTTCTGGAACCAGAACATCAGACGTTTTTTAGGGACAGTAAGCCAGCCATTGAGGTGCCGCCTGTTAAGGGTGAGCGGCCAAATTCTGGGGAATCTGAGGACGAGGATGATGAGGACGAGGAAGACGACGAGGATGATGGGAATTACAAGAGAGAACAGATTATTGTGGAAGTGAACCTTAACAACCAAACCTTAAATGTTTCCAAAGGAGACAAAGGAGTGGGCAAGGATCCTTCTCACATGAAGACCAGCAGCGATGAGGAGGGAGGTGACTCTGGAGATGACGACCCGGACAGCCAAGAGGATGAAGAAAATGAATCTCACGCAGCGGGTAACCAGTCCGGTATGGAGCATGTGAACCAGGACCAAAAAACTGAGAACTCTGACATGATAGCCTGCGATGGCACGTCACTTGCCAACCCTCAGAACGAACAGGTGAAAAGCGGAGAGGCACCTAAGCGTAAGAAGAAGACTCCCAAAGAACCTAAATCCCCTGACAAGGGTAAAGGTGAGGAGAAGGAGACCCTCACATGTGACAAATGTCCTCGGGTTTTCAATACGCGGTGGTATCTGGAAAAGCACATGAACGTTACACATAGAAGGATGCAGATTTGTGACAAGTGCGGCAAGAAGTTTGTCTTGGAAAGCGAGTTGTCCCTCCATCTTCAGACAGATTGTGAGAAAAACATTCAGGTGTGTATAGCTTTCTTATAGTATTCTAGTTATAAGGATTTTGACCTGCTTTTCCTACATAGGCTCCTTCGCACCCACTAGGGCTATGTTTTCTATTCAGTAACCAATGCAAGTGGTTTTACCTGACGTGTTCACACACAGACGTTCCGTACTAGGGGATATAACAATAGCTCTGGTAGAAGTGGAGCTGATGCTCATTGTAGCCACTCAGATCTTTGCTTTGTCGCAGAGCTGGGCTTGTTGAACAATCTTTAGTATCCAACATTTCTGAACGTATCGGATGCCTGGTTCCCCTCTGCTGTGGATCCATTTCTTGGTCCCTTTGTCATCAAAGGACACTGTAGTGACATAGAGGCCAGCGGATGCCGCCACTGTGAGTGGGGGGGGGAGCAGATATCTGACACACCAGGAAGTGTCGGCTTCAGAAGACTTTTTAGCCACCATAGCTCTGCAACAGAGCTAAGATCAATGGCAGAACATGTATTAACCCTTTTCATTGCACCTATGTTATCTATGCTATTGCTAATGGTTATTCCCTTGTAATAAGCATTTGAGCTTGATTTTTCAGGAAAGCCAATTCTTTAGCACAGCCCCCTCTCTCTGTGCACATCATAGAACTCCCCTCTTCTGGGAGTCTCATTGCTCTCTGTGCTGGCCCAGCTAATCCACTCTGCCCCTCAAGCTTTTATGTAGCTTCCAGGGAAGGAGTGAAGGGGAGCTCCTATAGAGCTGGGATAGGCAACCTCAGCACTTTAGTTTCTGTGGAACTATAAGTCCCATGAGGTATTACAAGGCTCTTACAGTCACAGGCAAGAGTCCCAGAGGCAGGGGTATAATGGGATTTGTAATTTCACCACCGCTGGAATGCCAAGGTTGCCCACCCCTGCTATAGAGTGTTCCAAGGTGGCTGTTGCAGAGATTCCCTTATTTCAATGAGGAAACCATTCCAATGGAAGGCAGTCCTCTCCTGTGGAAAAAAATACATTCTAAATTTGGATTTACCTTAATGTTCATATTTACATTACTAAAATAAAACAACTTGTATTTGTAGTCCTGGACATAAAATACATGCCGAATATCACATGTTCCTGTAAGAATACGATTTATAAAGGGTAGGGATGCACCGATATATCGGCCGCCGAAACATATCGGCCCAAAATGGCACTTTTGGCTAAATGCAGAAAGTGCCATTTTCCTGCTGATACATCGGCGCATCCCTGCTTTCTTTCCTCCTCGCTGGGCGCTGCTCTGTGTCCCAGCGGGAAGAGAGAAAGTGACAGCCGGCCGAGCGCTGTGAGCGCTCAGCGTCTCTCCTCCCACACCGCTCAGCCGCCTATCACAGTCCGGCAGAGCGGTGCGTGGGCGGAGACAGGCCACGCTGTCACCGGAGGCTGAGCTCTCCTCCCTGCTCCGCTCGCCCAGCCTCCTGTGACAGCTGTCAGGAGAGCGGGTACAAGCAGTCAGTGATCAGTGAGTGTAGATAATTGAGGACATGGTATGGTTACTATATCCTCAATTATGAATGAATGGGAAGTGATCTACATCCCCTCCTGTCTATTCATGATTGTGGTTATAGTAAACACACTATGTTCTCATGTTATGAATGAACAGGAACACTCAGCATAGAGGATTGCTCATTGATAACAGGGGATACAGAAAAAATGATTGAGGACTCTTTGTCCTCAATCTCTTTTTTTATGGTAAAAGGGAAATATCAGCGGTCTGTTTAGCCCCCTAATATTTCCCTGAAGCCCCTAAAAGTCAAGTAAAAAATTAAAATATTTAATAAAAAATTATAAATATAAAAAAATAAAAAGTTCATTAAAAAAATTTTTTTGAAACGAATTAAAATAAAAAACATTTTCAGTTTCGGTCTTTTATTTTTTGTTTATTTCGGTTTCGTTTTTGACATTTCCATTTCAGTGCACCTCTAAAAAAAGGGCCTTCTGTATGAAAGTTGTGCTAACCGGAACATTTTTTTTTTTGTGCTTGGCAACCAATGCCAATACTGGTTTCATCTGCAAACCTTGGCTGCAGAAATGATTGCTGGAACCAGACAGACGACCACGGGCAAATCCTCTGGGGTAGCATTGTCATCTCTGTGTTTTAGTGTTGTGCCTCCCTTCCATAGGGATGACTGAGAACCACACACAGCACTGAAACTGTTCTACATGAAAAATCGCTTTTTAGGGCTCATTCGCTTAGACGCCAATATTGGCTAATGGGCATACAACTGGAATATACACCAGCAAGCATATAGGCTTAAGTTCCACATGCGCATATTAATGTCAGTACTTGCGTTTGCAGACCAGCTTACAGGGTATTGCGTCCATACAATCCTGTGGTCACAAAGACGCAACAGCTGGGGCTCCCGGGCGTCTTTCCCGCTGTATGTCTATATGCCTGTATTGGCGTCAGTTTGGATAAGCCCTTCAAAGGCGAGCTGCCTTTCCTCAAAGTGTCCTCTGCATTTACTTATTTTATTATCGTCATCATGAAACCAGCATGTGTAAAATGTCTTTCCTCCAAACAGGGTTCCTGTAATCTGGACCCAAAGATGGTGAGTAATAGACGCTGGAAGCAGCCTGATTGCTATACTTCTGTTGACCAAATGAGTTTAATGTGTCTCTGACATGCACATGTAGTTTCCTTGTGGTTTCAGTACACAGGGTACGGGATGAAGAACTTGCAGAGTAAATAGAACAAAAAGTGACTGATCTTTTTTAATACTTGTGCCAGAGCCTTCTGCTTTCTTGTACTTGGCTGCAGCAGCTGGATTTGCTCATCACGACACAGTGGAAGAATATCGCATCAAATGTAAATTGATGTGTTTCAAGTCATATTATTCTGACCCTCTATACATTATGTAAGGTTGGGCAAATCAGATTTTTCAATTTTGCATTATGTGCCTTGCCTTACCTCTAAAGCACTGGTTCTCAGCCTGTGTAACCTCCGGACCCACATTTGTCCTTGGTCATTAAGTCGTGTACCAAGTCACATTCCAATGGATTGCACGGCATTGGGGTACCGCGTATTCCAGTTCGGGTGTATGAACTGTGGGTGGGAGGTACATTTAGGGCTTGTTCACACCAAATGCAAACCAGATCTGCATGAGTTTCTGCACACGCAGTGGAGTGGGTTGTGGCACATTTTTGATGCGTTCCAGGCCTTTTTTTTACACTTTCAAATGGGCTTTCAGTGCGTTCCAGAGTGTTTGCATGCGTTTTTCAGAGCAGGTAAAATAGGGCTTGCTGCAGTTTTTTTGCATGCTCTGGAACTGAACGCTGCGGTGTGAACTAGAGCCCAAAATACCATTGGAATACATAGGACGCAGGTTTGATCCGGTCTGTAACTGCTCTGCTCTGCTCCTGGAACGCGCTTGGTGTGAACAAGGCCTCGGGGTACCATTCAAATGAATGGCAATGCAACACACCTTAACCTGCCTTCTCGGAAATCTGGTTGCAGCCATTGATGGCTTCCTTTTTTCTGCCCCGTCCAGGTAGTGTTCCTTTAACTTTGAACTTGGGAACTAGAAAATAACTTCATGTAAAGCGTGGATGCGGGTCTGGCAGCGGTGAGCGTGATTTGGGGAGGAGGTGCAGCGCGCGGCGTGTGTGGAGCCGTGAACAGGGCCAACTGATCGGAAGCCGATTAATCGATTATTGAAAAAGTTGACAACTCAGTGCCTTCTCTCTCTTTTTGTATCCTGTTCCTTGTTTGTGAAGGGCAGTGATTTCTTCTTAAGTTTTTTTTGACCATTCTTTTGACTCTTATGTGTAACATGCCATCAAATGTGAGACTCAACAAACCCCTGGCCAGTTCAGGTATTTCATGTATTCTAGCTCAAGCACAACTGAAGCCTGTGATAAGTTGTATCTGGTATGCTTGAGATTTGTGCTCTTGTGAGGGGTTCTATTCAGGGGGTGGAATCATTTTTGAGACAGCAGCGCTCTCTCACACACACACAATGTTCATTAAAGGGTAATTTAGGGGAAATGGAATTACCCACTCAAATCTGGTCAACTCTCACCACCCCGCCACCGCTATACTTACCTTTTGGCAAACAGTCCCTTCCCTCCACCTATACTGGTGTACTGTCTGTACCCCTTACTGCTGCCCAGTGCCATGGATTCTGTATTTCATTTGCACAGTTTAAATACAGCTTTGGTTTTGATAATTTTTTTGTATTCCGACAAGTACGTAGATTGTCATAAGGGACAAGTAGATTGGGCCCCCACTTCAGTCCTTGGACAAGTATTTTATTTTAAATAAATTTCCACACCCCCGAGGAGTATTGGACTAGCAAACAAAACAACTATTGCCAAGCCAAGGATAACCTGCAGTGTGTGAAACCAAGAGCTAGAAGCTGATGGCTGCCAGTGGCGGAACAACAATCACCATAGCGACCCAGGCGGCCGCTATGAGGCCAGGGGCACAGGAGGGCCCGGCCAGGACACCCCCCTGATGCTTTCCGGGCCGCCTGGGTCACTATGGCATCTCAGGCTGCCGGCTGTCACTGTTGGCTGTGAGGAGGAACACGCCGCTGTCCAGATCACTGACAACCTGTGCAGCGGCGTGTTCCTCCTCACAGCTCCTGCTAAGTCGGTGACCGCCAGCAGCTGCGTAGGAGGAGGCGGGGCCCAGCAACGGAGGTGGAGAGTGATCGGCGCTGACAGGTAAGAGGATTTGACCAGCCCACCTGAGACCCAGCAGAGCCCACCATATAGAGTCTATGGTGGGCTCTGCAGGGTCACTCTCAGGTGGGCTGTTTGGGATATCTAGTGGGCATAACTAGAAATCACAGGGCCCCATACAAAATGTTGCTATGGGGCCCTGTGATTTCTAGTTAGGCCCCTAATGGCTGCTCCAGGTTTAGTAAATTCCCCCCATTTGTATAGATATTCAACAATAAAGTTTTCCTCCTCTTGTATCTGGGACGTGCAAACATTGTTTTAGGATCTGCGGAGGAGATATATTTCTGTAACGGCATAGTCCCTGAGAAAGTTCCATGGCAGACATGCCCCATTAACCTGTTCCAGTGGGATCCTGCTAATTAGGCGCTTGTTTGCAAGCCTGCTGTACTGCGTAACAATGAATAGTCTACTGTGGGTATACGGTAGACTTGTCATGACCATTGGAATCGTTCTGTAAATATGCTTATAAAGGGGACATGCAGCAGTTTTGTACATTTAATATTCAGACTATAAAAAAAAAAAAAAATCGGGTAAGTTGGAAATATTGATTTGTATTGGGTGAAGTCTTCTATCCAGCCAGCAGATGGCGATTTAGTTTAGTTTTCTCCTTTTTCCTTTATTTCAGGTGACGTTATCAGAAACCTCAGTATGATGGTTTGAGGAGACCAAATCAAGCTTTGTTTAAGGCATAGGTAGGTATCCTCAGCACTCTAGGTGTTGTGGAACTACAAGTCCCATGAGGCGCTGACAGACATGACAACCACATGCATGATGGCATTTGTAGTTTCACCACAGCTGGAGTGCCAAGGTTGCCTACCCCTGGTTTAAAGGGACCCTTCTTTAAACGGGTCCATTAGCGACACGGGTCCAGTGCTTTAGTGTGTTGGGGTGCCATTCATGCTGTGGTACCGCGTATTTTAGTAACGCGCCTGCTATTGCAACACAGGTGCAAAGGGACCTTTAGGGAGGACTCAATTTAATTCAAAATCGTAAACTTCCCCTTGCAGTGGGGCTACCCCCTTACTGCAAGGGTTAACTTCTCGTTTTGTCTAGGAGGCTCAAATAAAGCGGATATACTCACCTGATCCTCAGTCCCGCGATGGTTCCCACTCGCCTCTCTCCCGCTCTGGCTGTGAAATGTCTCTTGGCATCCCTACGTCTAATGCAGGTCAATGGACCTTGATGGGCCAGTCCTTAGACTGACAGAGCACAGGGGAGAGGAGGCTCCGGGGACCGGTCTAGCAGCCTGGAAGGAGGCGGAGGATCAGGTAAGTATATCTGTTAGGGATGCACCGATACCGTTTTTTTTCGGTATTGAGGTCAAATACTGATATTGGGGGTTTTTGGTACTCGCCAATACCGATATTGGAAGTCCCATTAAGACAGTCCTGGGTGACCAGGAAGCATGGAGCCGGCTTTCTGGCCAATCAGGAAGCCGGGGGGCGGGTAATGACTCACCGCCTGGCTTCCTGACTGGCTAGCTTCTCGACCAATCAAGAAGCCGGGCAGTGAGTCATTACACAGCACCCGGTTCCTGATCGGCCGGGGAGCCACCTTCCTGACCAAACAGGAAGCCGGGCAGTGTGTAATGACTCGCCGCCCAGCTTCCTGATACTGACGTTCCGGTATCTGGATAGGCATCGGGACCATTTGGGCGATTACTAGTATCGGGATCTGTGCATCCCTAATGTCTGCTTGGAGTGCCCTAGACAAGTTTAGCACCCTTGCAGTACAGAGGTAGCCCCAAGTTTTTTAATTTCACAGATTTCTTTAATGTTTGTAAAATAAAGATTGTTTTAAAATATCCTAGTTTTGGATAGCATTACTTTTTTTTTTGCTGTCCTTGTTGGGTATTCCCCCTTTTTTTTCTTGTCCAGGTGACCATATATTCCAGTTGTCGGTGAAATATTAGAATATCTTGCTCCAATGATGGCGGTCATAGGTAGGGTTCCTCTGAGACAGGAAATGAGCTGTCCCTTGTTCCTGCTGCCTCCTTTTATTGGAGGTTTAGCTATACAAGTATTTGTCCTCCTGTGCACACAAAGGTTGATATTTGCTGTGATTGTAAGCTGTCCATTGTACAGACCCATCACTACACACTATTTGACATTGACATTTTTCATGGGGATTAGAAGATGTTTGCCTTTGGTGGAAAGAGCTCCACACTTGAACAACTTCAGCCGGATGGACTAATTAGGAATCCTGATTATATTTGTATTGCTTTGCAAAGAAAATAGGTCTCTGCTAATATCAAATTGCAGAAACCATTGCGAGCCCTTCCCGTATGTTGCCTTATCAGCAAACAGTATTGTAATATGCTGGTAGCAAAGTAGGCCGTCAATTAAAATCATTTTGTCTGACAGCTGGAGTCATCCACAAGGTCATTCTGTCTACACCAGATAAAGTGTATCTAATGTGCAGCTGGATACATGTGGTGTGTGTAAAAATCTGATTTATATTGGGAATGTCTTTGCAAGTTAGGACTTTGTTTTGACCCCAGTTTTACTGACGTGACGCATGTTCATTTCTTGTAAATGAAACTGTGTGTGCGTATATCTCAGCAGTGTGTCATAACGATAAATATCCTATAAGAGAGGATGTTACCCATAGCAACCCAGCTCATAAATTCGGATTCAGGCACCATATTTCTTTCATTACATTTCAGACCCTTTTTTTTTAAATTTTAAATGTTACTTGTCCACAAGTATTAAAATGTATGTATAGACTATAAACTTGACTTTTTTTTATTTTTGGGTAGAATATTTAGAACTAGGGATGCATCGAAATTAAAAACATTTGGCAGACAAAATGAAAATGATCTTTTTTTCCCCCCCCAACCTTTTCAAAAAATTATAGATATAGATCTATAGATATAGATCTATAGATATAGATCTATAGATATAGATCTATAGATATATATTTTACTTTACTGTTAGGGGCTTTGGGGAAATATCAGGGGTCTAAACAGACTCCTGATATTTCTCTTTTAAAATAGAGTCCCCAATCCCTTTTTCCGCAGCCTCTGTACTCAATGAACAGGAAGTTGTCAGTACCAAGGCTTCCTGTTCATTCACAGTCTGGAGATAGTAAATTTGTTATTATCAACCCAGTCATGAATGGACAGAAAGCCTAATTTTATTGAGCTGCTTACTGTTCATTTGTAAAGTGAGCAGATAGTAAATATTTACTATGTCCCCATTCATAAATGAACAGGAAGTGATGTATAGCACTTCCTGTTTATTCGTTAATAATCACTATGTCCTCCGTTATTTACAAACACGAGTGATCAATACTGATCGCTTAGTGTTTGTGCTCCGCCCTCTCCCGTCTTTCACCGGAGCCAAGCTCTCCCCCATGCACCGCCACGTTTGGCCTCCTGACAGGTGTCCCCTTCCTGCTCGGCCTCCTGAGAGGTCTCTCCTCCTCATACTGCCCTGCTCAGCCTCCTCAGCTTTTCTTTTCCCCGCTGGGTGCCAGCAGCTGGAGCGGCTCTCTGTCCCCTCCGATCCCCGCTCCCTTTGCCGACACGGGTTGGCGAGAGCAGAGGGGACACAGAGTCTGGCTCCCAGTGGGTAGGTGAGAAGCTGGCGGTGCACCGCATTTTCGGCCATTTTTGCACTATTAGCATCTTGCCCATAGTGCCATTTCGATGCATCCTTAGTTAGAACCTCTGTCATGTTTTGCTGTCTGGAGATTTACCAACTCTTTCCCCTGGCCACCAGGACAGAAAGCGAGGGTACATCCAAAATGTTAGGTCTCGCTGTAATAGGAGGCACTGTAACTGTCTAAGGCCCTATTCACACTAGCACACGGGATCCGTGTTTATAATAACATGCATTGAGTTTAATGCAAAAATAAAGCCGCTCATACCTTCTTAGACCCAAAACTCCGTGAGGACCGCGGTGCTCAGCATGAATCTCTGGCGGACCCAATCAACAAAATCAAGTGTAAAAGAGCTAGCACTCGTAGGAATCCTCTTAATGGCGTTTCTTTATTGAAAAGGCATAAATGCAGCTACAAAGGGTGCATTGTGTTGCAGAGCGGTAAAAAATGGTAATGCACTCACTGTTTTTTGGGGGGGGGTTTTGCTACACGGCAACACGCGTTATTGAGACATTTTGTCGTCCCTGACAAGTTCACTTTATAGCCCAAAATGAAATGCTTAGCTGATGCTTCCGGTTTTATGTTTTATCCACCTCACCTGTATACTGCGAGGCATCACTTTGGATGCCATTTGGTTCCGTTGCTGACATGAGATAACTTTACCTACACAAACAATAGGTGGATTATTTCTTGACAGGATTATCCGACACAATCCTGTCATAGAGACCAGTCTTCAAGGTCCACATTTACTTCAGATGCATGCCAGGACATGGCGTTGTTAATGTGGACTAGTGCTAGTCCTCTTTTTTTTTTTTTCTCCTTTTGTAAAGAGAACATTTAAGTTCATGTTTGTACCTGATTTGGGCTAGTCATGTGATGTGCAGGGTTCTTTCCTTCTGATCTTTCTTGAACAATGCAGAGAGTGGGGTGGCGTGAGCACGTTATATTTGCATCTTTATACTGTGAGCATAGGACATTGTGGTGATGCCCTGTCGGGGTTGGCCCATCAATGCCGTGGCCTGAGCACATTATTTGCATCTTTATACTGTGAGCAAAGGGCATTGTGATGATGTCCTGTCGGGGTTGGCCCATGAAGCCCTGTACTCAAAGTATCTCCTCATTCTTCCAGTTTGAATGATTGCGGACATCATTCAACTTGGAAGACCGAGGACATCATGTGGCAAAAAAGGACTGCTCCACTTTGGCCCCATGTACATACCATCACCCTTGACTACTTGGGCCAGGAGGACCCATCAAACCGGGGAAAAGAAAGATAAATATAATTAAGAGGTTTGGATAGAAAGAGGAAAGGTTTAAAGTCTCTAAGGTTTGTATTGTTGTCTGTGTGCCCTTATATGAGAATCTCCTCACTTCCTGTACAGGTGACTACATGGAAAGTAAGGAGAGAGTTTTCTCTTATCAATGTTTTTTATGCCTTGTGGTTCTTGCGTTGCAGCATTTGCTGCATGTTTCCTGAGTTTGAAGGCCGAAAGGCTAATTCTTCTGCTCTTCTCCACAGTGTATCACATGCAACAAGACGTTTAAGAAACTTTGGTCCCTCCACGAGCATATAAAGATCGTCCATGGCTACGCTGAAAAGAAGTTTTCTTGCGAGATCTGCGAGAAAAAATTTTACACGATGGCCCATGTCCGAAAACATCTGGTCGGTAAGTTCTATTCCCGTGTCGTACTGTTTGTGACAAGTAAAGGTGGAATCGCATCAGCAGATAGCAGCGGTGCCCGGAGCTGTACAAGAGAGTGAAGACTTACAAGTTTGAATTGGTACTATATTTACCATTTTTAGGCAAAACCCATTTCTTTTATTTCTTATGGGATTCATATTGAGCTGTAGGTCATAACAGAATGGCACAATCCTAAAACAAAACGTGGCAACAAATAAAACTACGACCCCTGTTCAAAAGTCTGCATACCCTTAGTCCTTAATACTGTGTATTGTCCCCCTTTAGCATCAATGACGGCGTGCAGGCTTTTGTAATAGTTGTTCTTGCAGGTGGTATAGCTGCCCATTCGTCTCGGCAAAACGCCTCTAGGTAATGCAAAGTCTTTGGTCGTCTTGCATGAACCGCACGTTTGACATCTCCCTAGAGTGGCTCGATGATATCAACCGTTTGCCATCCGCCCGTTGTGAAAAAACGGACGGACGGCAAAGTCCCATGGGCGGGTTGCCGTCATTAGACAGCATTTTTTTCCTGCGCGCACAGGCAGAAAAAACTCGCCCGTTCTTTACAGCCGTTACCGGCTGTTTCACATCCAATCCAGAAGTGGTTAAGGTCAGGACACTGTGATGGCCACTCCAGAACCTTCACCTTTTTCTGCTGTAACCACTGGAGGGTCAACTTGACCTTGTGCTTAGGGTCATTATTGTGCTGGAAAGTCCAAGAGTGTCCCATGCGCAGCTTTCCTGCAGAAGAATGCAAGTTGTTGGCAAGATGAATGCAGCATGTTCAGGGGTGCGGAATTCCTATCGCCCGACGCCCGGGACAGGCAGTTTCGGGCGTCGGGCGAGTAGTTTTTTTCTACATTTAGCCCGGCTGCGGGCAAGCAGCACTGCTAAATGTAGTGAGGGAGCCGTTTTGTACAAGTGATTTTAAACGGCTGTGCAGCCGTCCAAAAATCACTCGTATCCTGCCTGAATCACGCTCCCCCTCCCCTCCCCTCTCTCTATCTCCAGCGGCCGGCCGTGTACTGCTCCCGGCTGCCTATCTCTCTGCACCTGGGCTTTCTTTTTTGCCATAGTCCTCGCGCCCCCCCCTCTTGTGGGGGATTGATGACCACGGCAAATTAGGTTCCAGAGCATGGAGCAAGGCAGAGAACGGTTCTCTACTCTGCTCCATGTGTGCAGTGACACAGGAATGCAGCCTTCCTGTCACAGGAGAAATAGCACAGCGCTGTGCTAGAACTCCTGTGTTGGAGGTGACAGGGTCAATAAAGAGAACCTGTCACCTCCAAATGCTATCACACAAGGGCTTGTTACCCTTGTGTGATAGCAATAAAGTCAAGTAAAAAATAAAATGTATAACACTTAAAAATGTAAACATAAAATTGGAAAAAATAATAAAAATGTAAATACATAAAAATAGAAGTAAAAAAATAAATAATGTAAAAAAAATATTACAAAGGAAAAAAAAAAGTTAAATAAAATCTAAAAAATTAAAACCAATCCCTATCATCTGCATGTGAATAAACGCATGCATGGGGCATTGTGTGAGTGGAGTGGGCGTGCACACATCGTGCACAAAACCGCGTGGATGGCCGGGCAGTCACAGAATCTCACACCACCGTCGATCACGCTGGCAGTGCCATTATTGTCTAACAGCACCCCAGTCGCACAAGGCAGATTGCGCAGTTTCCCGCCGCAATAACGCCCCACGCGGATGTAACCCCATTGAAATAAGCGTGCACGGCCTTGCCCAAGTCTGCACCCGCCCCAAACGGTAAATTCACTTTCCCAAGTAATTTGGAAAAATGGAATTACCCGCACAAATCTGGTCCAGACACCATGCCCCCCACTACACTTACCTTTCAGGGAACGGTCCTTCCCATCCGCCAGTATGGGTGTACTATCTGTACCTGTGCCATTGTAATCTGAATTTCGCTCTCAAAATTCAAGCACTCGTTGGTCAGCGCAGTCATCTGACGGCACTGACCAACGAGAAGCTCTTCTTGGCATTGCTAAATACGGTTATGGTTAAATTTTTTTCTTTTTCTGTATCAGGACAAGTAGATTTTCATGAGGTACAAGTAGATCAGGCCCCCGCTTTAGTCCTTGGACAAGTAGTTTTTAAAAAAAATGTCCACACGCCTGATGTTATCAGAAAACACTGGCAATCGCAAGATTCCCCGTGCCTTTAGAGCTCACCCCCCCCCAACATAATTGATCCACCACCGTGGGGATGGTATTCTTGTCGCTATAGGCCACCTTGACCCCTCTCCAAACAAAGCGCTAATTTTTTCCAAGTATCGTCGTAATGTGCTCCTTGAAACGACCACTGCGTCTTTTTCCAGAGCAGCCTGTACTTCTCCCGAGGTTACCTGTGGGTTTTTCTTTGTATCCCGAACAATTCTTCTGGCAGTTGTAGCTGCAATCTTTCTGGGTCTACCCGACCTTGGCTTCCTATCAAGAGATCCCTGAAAGTTCCATTACCTTGTTACGCAGGTCTTCTGACAGTTCTTTTCTGCTGCCCATGGCTCAGTATCTAGCTGGCTCAGTGAGAGCTAACAAACGCATAGATTATTTATAAACAGACACTAATTGCAATTTATAAAGCTTCATATGTGGGAAATGAACCTTTTAGGTGTACTTCACACCAGCCATAGTGCGTTCCGGCCCGATTGTGACCTGAACGCACTGGATCGCATTCCGGCCGGCTCACTTTGTTGTGGGTCGTGAAAAGGCGTGGCGGTGCATTGAAGTGAATGGCACCGCAGCCACGCCCTCTGGCCGCAATGCAATCAGCCGCACGGGAACAAGTGGCACATCGATGCCTGCGGTGCGGTCAGAAAAAAATAGAGCTTGCAGCATTTTTCTGACAGGAACGCAGGTATTGATGTACCTTGCGTTCCCTTGCAGCCGATCACTTTGCGGTCTGAGTGCGTGGCTACGATGCCAGTGAGTTCAAAGCACCGCCTGCCCCACAACAAAGTGAGTCGGTCGGAATGAGATAGAGAAGGACAGGGGCTGCGTACTAATCACACGCAGCACCTGTCCTTCCCTGGAGCTACCCGATACGTCCCTGCACGGAGCTGTACGTGCCGGCCGATTCTCGTGTGAATGAGGCCTAAAGGCCAAGTTTCCTTTTCTGACCATGTTTTCTGTTACACCCATATTCAGGGTGTGCCATGAAACATGTCTGTGGGTCCCTTAGCACGGCTGACCGGAATATACCCGTGATGCACGGGTGGGTGCAGCAGTGACCACAAATGGCACCGCCAATCAATCTAAAGTAGAAAAGGTAGTCGCCGGCATTGCAGTATTCGCTCCTTCATTATTCATTTATCATCTTAATAGGTAATTTCCCCGTGCAGAGCTTTGATAATGAAGGAGCAAATACTGGACTGCCTGGGACTACCTGTTCTACTTTTGACATGAAACATGTCCGCATCGCCGCACTTTACATCACCGCATTTGTAGTCCATTCACTCTTCCTCCCATCCATGGTACTGAACGTCTGTACCTCGGTACCAACATGGATGGGAAGAAGAGTCTGCAGGAGCCAGAGTGTTGTACATGTGATCTGTTGATCATGGCTGCAATGCTTTACTGGCTCCAATGCAACAACAAATCGTAAACGCACATTTTTTATTTTATGTAGTAGTGTGCATTCATTATTTTTATTCTAAAAAGGGAGATTTTTGCCTGAAGATTAACTCTAAAGCTTGATTCTGGTGAACTGTCAGCACACACCACTACAATGCTGCGGTGCAATCTGAGCCCATTGGTAACGAGACAAATTGCCTTGTCTAGCATTATGGCTGCACTGGAAAACGCAGCCATAGCCACCCCAACACTACACAGCGCAATGCGGCTTGTTACGAGGCCTTGTCTTGTATAGTCAGCTGGATTGACTATATGAGATCATAAAAACACAAGTAAAGCCTTGTAGATGTACAGTATGTGGTTATTTGGGCCAGAATGCAGTCAATTCCACAGATATTATTTTCCAGCTTAATGAATTATTGGAGTACTCTTTTAGAACTTGTATCCTTAAAGCATATTGAAAACCCAGGGACAGGAATGCAATATATTGCAGATTACCAATCCACTCACTATCCCTTTTGTATCAGGGCAACAGAAACAAGATAGGACTACAGAACCCCACCTCTCCTACACGGAGCCATCAGAGAACAGTTTCATTGATTTATTTATTACAAGTATTTTTGTAGCGCCGCAATTTTACGCAGCACCTTACATAGTGCACATTCACCTCAGTCCCTGCTCTCAATCTAAGGTCCCTATCTCACATACATGCATACGAGAGCCAATTAACCCACCAGCATGCCTTTGGAGTGTTGGAGGAAGCGGGAGTACCCGGATGAAACCCAGGCAAGCACAGGGAGAACATGCAAACTCCTTGCAGATAGTGACCTGGCCGGGATTATAACCGGGGACCCCCAGTGCTACAAGGCAGAAGCACTAACCACACGGCACTGATAACAGCCAAGCAAAGGCAGTAAGCCTATCGGCTTAAATGATTCCAAGCAAGATTAACAGGTATTTAACTTGCCAAACAATATGACGAAAAGCTTTCAATGGTATATTTAACAGACCAAAAGGGGGAACAAATTCTAGAAGTTCATTGTTGGGATTTACCTTCAATATAATGGAAAATACAACACTTACATTTTCAACCACTAGATGGAGCTATATCACCAATAGTTTTCAGACAATTGTGTGTATACAAAGGGAATGGCAACAACCAGCGTGCAGTATTCCCCTGGAGGATCAATAGAATAATTACTTTATCTTGCTTAAGGGCTCATTCACACTGTAATCGGCCCGCACATACAGCTCCGTGCTGCGTGCACGGCTGTATCGAGCAGCTCCCGGGATGGACAGGTGCGTGTGATTAGTACGCAGCCCCCGTCCTTCTGTATGGGACTACGTGGACGTGCAGGGCGGGTGAGCGTACTGGTACGCTGACGGGATGGAACCTGTCTGCGTCCGAGCCAGGAAACACGCACCCCTACGGACCTGCACTTGAGGTGTGAAGCATACGTATGCTCAAGTGACACATAAACAATGAGTTGTGATTGATAGATCTCATACCGGATGAATATCATTGATGTATGAAGAAGCACTTCTAAGTAATCCGCATCACAGGATGGCCCCATGGAAGGCCACGGCTTTGAATGGCAGTAGTGTTTACTAGAGCTGCAGCTAACGATTATTTTCAAAATCGATTAGTTAGCCGATTATTAAGTTTGATTAATCGGATAAAAATAAAATACATTTTTAAAAATGGCTCCAGTGATGGGACTACTAGTTTGTATTGAGATTGCAGTCCATCACAGGAGCAAGCTTGGAGCGGTGGAAGTTAAAAAGAAAAAAAAGGTGTGGTGTGCAATATAGTGAAATGAAAAGTGTAAAATTATACAGCAATGAATGCAAAATGGCACCGGTTATAGAGGACTCCAAAAGCCAGCAATAGTACATTATACAGCGCAATGCAGAATACCGCCAGCTATAGAGGAATACAACAAATCCCAGCAATAGTACATTATAGCTGGCGGTATTCTGCATTGCGCTGTATAATGTACTATTGCTGGGTGTTGTAGTCCTCTATAGCT